AGTTACACAGCCAAGAATTATCATACTGATACAGTAGTATTGCCCAAAGTTAATGAATCAGGTCTGATTACTTAAGTGATACAGTCCTGGTAGGCTATCAGGACTGTATCACTTCAGTAATCAGACCTGATTCATTGACTTTGGGCAGTACTACTGTATCAGCGTGACAATTCTTGGCTGTGTATCATAAGGGAATAATTAATGACTAATAATACAATTTCTCAATATACAAATACAGTACATCTAGCACTTCTTACCTCTACATAGTCATCATCTAGTAATAGCCAGTAGCCGTGACTCTTAATAACTGATATATAATGACCTCTGTTAGGACCACTAGAGAGGGGAGGAGCAGCACTTAATAAACCACACCCACAATAAGAGTACTTACGTTCCACAATGTATCACTACACCAATTAGGTCATACATTCTATCAGGATCACTAGCATCATCTGACTAAGAGAACAAATATACAATAATAATAATAATTGAAGTAGTGAATGTACATAAATAATGCAATACATGTAGTTTCAAAATGCAGGGCTGCTTACTAAAAAAGCTAATTGACTCCAGAAGACATTTGGCAGTTAAAATTTTTGATTACAAAACGATTGAACAAATAAAGCTCAATTTGCCCAAATTTCCTAGCTACATGCATACAGTATTTCTTTATCATATCTCTGTCTCTTACTGTATTGAATAGCTTCAGTTCCCATGGAAACACCACACGGTGTGAGAGCTTTGTGTGTCTGTGGAGTTGCTCCATAAACTTGAATCTCTTGAGATGGAGTGCAAGTATCGTCGGGAGCTTCTTTATTCTAAGCCTCTTGGTTGCTTCTTGCTTACTGCAGCACTGCTCACAGTAATATTTGTATTCTGAGGATAGGGTTTCACTACCACTGAACATCCTATGGAGAGAGAGAGAGAGAGAGAGAGAGAGAGAGAGAGAGGGAGGGAGAGAAAGAGAGAGAGGGAGAGAGAGAAAGCGAGAGAGGGAGAGGAGAGAGAGAAAGAGGGGGAGGAGAAGGAGGAAGGGTGAGAAACAGAAAATATTATTAATTAAATTAGTATAATAATCATTAAATTTGATAATTAATAAAAATTACAAGAATGCAAGTATATTGTTGCCCATTTCTTCTTGGTTCATTCTTCCACTTACTTCAGGCAGTGAGTGATGGATGAATTCTGTTCGATATCAACTGAGAGATCTAAGAAATCTTCTTGTTTGCTTCTTACTGTCTCACAGGAGAGGCACTTTGTCTCATTAACTAGTACACCTTGGAATATATCATGGATCCACGTGTTGGTGTCTTCTGATGATTCGGGCATTTGAGCTACAGAAATAATGAACCAGTTATAATGCATGTACATGTACATGTACATGTATGTGTGTGTGTGTGTACATTGTACCTTTTAATAAATCTGCTATTGTATTTAGTAGATAGTTCAAGAACTCGTGGGCATCTTGTTGCTGCATATTATCAAACACAACTATGAAAAAGAACAAAACTTACAAAAAATCTTTACAAACATATAAAGGATAATAATACATATATGTACTTTAAGTTACTGGCAAAAGTTCCTGTACTATAGTACAGGGTGATCCATAACAAATGGCTAAGAGAGAATTCTAAATTTTTATAATTTTTCTAATGCATATACATGTACTTATGTTGCATAAAAAGTTTGAGCTCATTCCGATCAAATTTGGATTTTTT